TTGTCCATTCCTTTGGTTTGAACCTCTATACTGTTAAGATCAGGCGAGCATCGGAGGAAGAGACCACCAAGAGACTGTCTCATGCAACAGCAGAGGGTTTATTGGGGGTCCAGCATGCTGGGGCTCAGAGCTTACTTGAATGGGGCAGAGAGCCCCGAGAACAACTTAAGCAGAGCTTATATACATTCTTTGGAGAGGGCAGGGACTTTACATACATCACAGCATCCCTTAGCAAATCATCACATACCACGGGAAAATCAAATAACAACTCTAAAACATGATTAGCACATTCACTGGCGGGAACAAGTTGGGTAGGGGTGATTGGTCAGCACAAACAAAGGGGTATATATTTGAACTGGTTGGGTTAAGCCCTGAAGTGTGTACGTGCTGAGCTGCATGGTCTCTGGGAAGGGTTGTTTTTACGGAGTGACCAGATGGTCAGAAGAGATTTCTCAACATACATTTACTGGTCTCTCCGGGAGTTGTTTTTGACCCCTCCATAAATTTCAGGTCCCAGGAAAACAGAACTGAAAGAAATTGAAACTTAACAGAACTTAAAACAAATCTTATCCTTTACATTTTAACCTTTCAATACCTTCTTCTATCCCAATGACTCTCAAGTTTGGTTTTTTTATGACATCCCATAACTCTTGGATAGATTGCTCGTGAGATTTAAGCATCCTTTCTGTGTTGACTATATTCTTTTCAAGTTGATAAACTTTGTCTTCATTATCTGATGTTCTGACTTCTACTTGATCTAGTCTATTTGTAATATTCTTGTTAGAGTTTTTAATTTGGTTTATGGTTTCCTGCATTTCTAGGATTACTGTTTGGTTTTTTTTTTAAATCTCTATCTCCTGGTAAAGCTCGTTCTTTGCAGTTTGAATTTGTTTGTTTAATTCGTTTTCAAAATATACTTTCATTGCTTGGACTTGCTGTCTCATATCTTCTCTAATATTCTGTTCCATCTGAGTTAGGTATGCCTTGAGTTCTTTCCGTGTCCATGTTTCTGATGCTTCTAGTTCCTCCTGTAGATTTAAGTTGTCCTGCATTGTTTGTAACCCTTTTTTCCCTTGTTTTTTCATGTTGTTCACGTTACTTTCCAGCTCTGTTTGACTGCTGTGTAACTGCTTTCTCCTATAAATTTGTTTTGGTTTTGTATATCTCTGTTGTCTCTCCTTTGTGGTGTGAGATTATGCCTAGAAATGTTGGGCTTTATTGTACTTTAAAGCTGATTCATTCAATTCATAAAAGGCTTCCAGGTTCTGTATGCATATAGTGATTTGTTGTTTGTTCTTAGGACTTTATGTTTAGGTTAGGTGCTATGATGGTATGAGGGTTAGTATGTCTTGGCTACTTTAGAAGATTGCTCTACTGAAGGGGGATACAAACAGGCGATTGGATCAGGGTGTTGGTAGTAGCTAGGTATTTAGGAGCCCTATAGACAGCATCGAAACATTCACCTATTTGCATTTAGACAATTACACGTAATGGAGGACATAATGCTTGGGATGAGAGTTGGGGGGTAGGGGAAGGAAGGTGCTCTCAAAAAGAAAGAAGGAGAGAGAGATAGATAGATTAGAGGAGAATGAAAAGAACAATAAAACTTGAAACGGGAAAGAAAGAAAGAAGGAAAAGGGGAGAAAGGAACAGAGAGAGAAGAAGAAAAAAAAAATTGAAGTCTTAGAGATCCATTTTCTTCTCTTCCAGTAGGCGGAGCTGTGCCCTCCAAGCCGAGCTTCTGCCCTCTACGTGTCTATAGGAAGCCCTGTAAGGCGGCTCCTGGGAGTCTCTCAGTCCTGTTAGTCCAGAGCTGTTTCACTTCTCCGGCCCCTCCCCCCCTTACTCCTGCCAGCCAGCCAGCCAGGTCCTGTTCACCGGAGGCGTTTCCCCAAAGATCTGGTTACACTTGCAGCCCCACTGCGTGTCCTATTTCCCGAACAACTGAGCGCTCTCTCCGTCATTCATCTAAGCCCCAGTGCTGTGGTGCGGTGATCTGGGGACCAACAGTTTTAATTTTTCCGGACCCCTTTGGTGGGCATGCCCCCGGATACTGGCGGCTAAGACCTTGGGTGTCGCAGCTGGTGTTAAGGGGAGTTGGGGATTGGGAATCCCCTCTGCTTCCCTACAGACACGCCCCCCAGGGAGATTCCCGCGGTTTCCTGGCTGCTTGTATCTGGATGGGGTTGGAGTCACACACCTGCTAAAGTGGATTCTGCTGGGAAGGAATTCCGTCAGCCAAACTCCGGTGACATCAACTCTCTGCTATGGCAGGCCCCAGGGTCCTTGTCGGAGTGTCCGAAGGGAGGGGTGGGACTGGTCTGTCTCTGGTTGGTTTCAGCTCCCAGTTTGCTACTTCATGAAGGCCTGGCTAGAGACCTCTTCCTAGAGTCCCTACGCTGCACCTGCTGGGCCGTGCCTCTGGGTCTAGCAGCCCAGTCGCGGGGGCCGCCTGCGGGCGGTCGCTGGCGGGCGGGCGGTTGCCGAGTTGAGTCGTGCGGGCAGCGGCTGGCGAGTCCGGACCTCTGCGCTGCGCTGCGTGGCGGAGATTCACTCGTCTGGGGCAGACTGTCACTTCCCAAAATCCTACCAATTGCCGGCCGGTCTCTCTTCAGTGGAATTTCGCCAGGAACCTCTCAGCAGGCGTATCGATGCGTTTCTCTGACCTGTTACTGAGGAGGTATTGAAAGCGCTGCTTCCCCGCCCGCCACCATGTTGGATCTCCCCTGTGAACTTTTTTACAATTTTTATTTGATTACATGATTTTATTTTTGCAGAGCTGGGGACTGAACCTAGGGCCTCACACATCCTAAGCAAGTACTTCACTGAGTACACCCCAGCCTCACTTTTCATCGTCATTGAGCACCATGAATCATCAGATATGGGAAATAAAACAATTACCAAGCAGTAATGATGAAAAGAAACCCATACTTAGATTCTTCACACTTTAAATTATAAAGGAATGAAGACAAAGGGAAAATCTTCTGTAAATCATATACCTCAGGATGATAATAAGTGGGAGCTGTCAAATTTATGGATCCCTCCTTACTTAAGGATCCATGTCAAATTTGTGGTCTCTGATTTCAGTGGAGTCCTTTGTGATGCCTCACAATCCCTTGCCTGGTCAGTGTCCTTCCCTGTGGCACAGATAGTGTGTACGCCCACTCCTGGACCATCCTGCTCTCATCCTGCGACAGTGCCTGATACAGACTTCACAAGACACTGTGTGGTTTGTAGGTGGAGTCACCAGTTTCCCAGCTCTGGAACTTCTCTGTATTCACACGAGTCCTGCTTCCCTTCTTTCCTGCTCATTGTCACCACCTTCTTGTCCCATTGCTTTCTCAGTCCATTGTACATTGGCCCCTGCTGCCTGGCACTGTTCTGGAATATGCTCTCAGAGGTGGTCTGTTACCATATCACCCAGGCAGGACATCATTTCTCAACCCTCATCTCCTCTGGCTTCCCCTTGGCTTCCTTACTCTTATTCTTGGCTTACCAGCTCTGTCTCCTTCACCTGCTGCTGAAATATTAGCATTCTTCAAGGCTATTTTCTTGGTCTCCTATTCCTTCCCTTTCTAAAAACATTGGTGTTGCAGTCTTACACACAATTTCAATTCCTGGCTCTGCTGACTACAGTCATGGGTCACTTACTGACTGGCAGCTCTGGGAAATACGTGCTGTTGGGCGATTTCATCTTTGTGCAAACATGATGAAGTGCAGTTACACAACCCTGGGGTGAAGGTTGGTGAAGGTCACTTGAAGTTACTTTACCTGGCCCCTTGATGCCATCAAGAGATGCAGTAAACAAGAGATATATAAGGCTACTGACAGGGTTACACAGCACACTGTGTTAAACTTTCTTTTAAAAGTAGGGGAACACATTAAATGATATATGATAAAAAGTATAGTAAATTCATAACCCAGTAGCGTAATTACTTGTCAGTATCAAGTATTAACAAGATTATTATATCATTATATCACATATATAGTTTTATATCATCATTATTAAGTATATGTGTCGCACTTTTTGCAGTAAGTATATACACCAGCCTCACCACAGACACGTGAGTAACGTGATTTGAGTCATCCTGAGGCCATAGGAATTTCTCAGGTCCACTCTATCTCGTGGGATCACTGTTGCACATGCCGTCCATCATTGACAGAGACGTTGTGTAGTGAGTGACTGTGGTGCCTCTGAATGAGCTACATTCCCATGTCCTTTTAAAAATCTTTATTTTGGGATGGGGGTATTGCTAAGTGCTGAGGCTGGCCTTGAACTTTCGATCCTTCTGCCTCAGCCTCTTAGTCACTGGATTTATAGGTGTGTGCCACCATGCCGGGCATGCTCTTTATATCCTATGATGGCCTTTTTATATTTTTATATAAAATTCTTAGCCTAGTGTCATAAAATGATGCTGAAACCCCGTGCATGTTTTTCAACCTCTCCCAAGCCCCAACTTCTTATCTATAATTTGATAAGAATGTCTACCTTAAGCTATTAGTATTTAAATGAAATGTAGTGTGTGATAATTCCCAAGGTCAGGGACTGGCATATGTGTACCAGGAACTAATATGTGGCAGAAGTTTTGTGTTGTTTCTTTCTCTTCCTCTCCTCTTCATCATAGTTGTGGTAGATACTAATAGATACAGTAATGGTTACTGAATGCAAATCCACCAGAGGACTAGTTCTCCCGATGTTGATTGGTAGTCACCCTTACGAAATCCAAACTGATACAATAAGTAATTTATTACCTGGGCGAAATGCAACTTTCATATTATTCAATTTGGAGTAGGCAATGAAAAGGGAAACTAGTTTTTTTTTCTTAATCTTTATTTTTATTTATTTTTATGTGGTGCTGAGGATCGAACCCAGGGCCTTGCATGTGCTGGGCAAGCGTTCTACTGCTGAGCCACAACCTCAGCCCTGGGAAACTAGTTTTCATATTAGTGCTTTCATAACACAATGTTGATTTGTTTTATTTTACTATTTATTATTTCAGAAATTTTGAAGAGTCTGAAGATGAGTTGAGAAACGAAGTAGTAGAATCCCTAGAAAAACTCACTACTTCCAAAGAAGTAAAAAGGGAAGAGGTTTCCAGTTCCTTTAAGGATGTTGAAAAACCAGGAGAAAGAGAAAGGATTAGCATGCTGAAATCTGAAGAATTAAATGAAGGTTTGGAGGCTGTTTCTAGTCCCATTTAATGACCGAATTTGTATTATTGATGAAGACAAAGGAACATCAACAGCCAGTCAAAATATACAAGTGTGATTATTGTACTTTTTCTTTCTTTTTTCTTTTTTGTGCTGTTGGGGACTGATGGCCTTTGTCTTAAATAGTAAATTAGCATCTATTTACTGTAGTATCTGTTTGGGTGCAAATAAAAAATATTCATTTATTTGTTAAAGAGTTTTCCAGTTATCCCAAGCACTTACTTTTATTTAAATTTAGATAATAGAACTTTGTATTAATTAATACCTTTACTTTAAAATTTCTATTAAGAAATATTTAAGATAATGTATGTGCTAGGCAGAATAATGCAGCTCAACACCCTCCTCTAGAAGACGTCACTCACGTCCTTGTCTCTGGAATTTGTGAATATGTTGTTACCTGGCAAAGGGAAATTGAGGTGGCAGAGGGAATTAAATTCTAACGTAATTCTTACTACGTTGGTCTTCTCTCAGTGAACAAGAGGAAAAATACATGTTATATTAATTATATACTAAATAACTTTTATTGAGTTTTTAGTAGTTTTAAGTGTATAGGTTATAAACTTCAAGTGTGTGCTCTCACTACTGAGCTACATTCCCAAACCCTTTTAAAAATTTTGAGACAGGTCTTGCTAAATTGAGGCTGGCCTCAAACTTGTGATCCACTGGTCTCAGCCTCCCGAGCACTGGGATTACAGGTGTGTGCCACTGTGCTTGGCATGGTCTTTATATCTCACAATGATCTTTTTTGTATAAAATTCTTAGCCCTAGTACATACATGTTTCTTGAATGAATAAATAACTGCTAATACATTTCTTGTTAAAACTGTAAACTCTTTGAGGCAGGAAACTGGAAATTATATCACATTAATTCCAGTGTTGAACATGTTCCTAGAATTAGATATTTGTTAATTTAAATACTAGATATACATCTGCTGAAGAATGGACAAGATGGCTAGGGATTTTTAGAATTCCATCTGAAATATCTGCTCTATACTAAAATAAAATGGTGCATAGGTTGATATATTGTTGGACCAAGAAAGAAAAGATGAGGAAGAGGTTTTCAGATTATTTCTAAGATCTGTTTAGTATTTGCATTTGTCTATTTTTCACTAAATGTGGGGAATGCAAGTATCAGGAGTCACCCACCTGGGATATGTCCAGTGTTTAGTTCCTGGTGATATTTGAGGGACTGTTCTTTCAACTCTGTACAGTTTCATTCTACTTTTTAGGGAGGTGCTTAGTATGTGTCCATCATGAAGCTGAAATTAAAAAGTTCTCAACATTATGTTTATTTCAAACTGCGTAACAAGTGGTCCTGAGAGATTGGAGCATCATTAATTCTACAGCTCTGCTAGTGGTTACCATACATGTTTATTTACTTTCAAGACATGTCTAGTTCAGATATAGTAAATCTGCGAGAGTCTGCATGTAACCCCAATTTTGAATGGAATGTGAAAGCATCAGAAGCAAAATGATTCCTAAAAATCCAAAGACCAAGTCAATGAAAGGCAGAAGAAAGAAAAAAGTTTAAGAATAAGCATATCAGTGTGTATATATATACACACACTGCAAGTATTCATTGGGGTAAATACATATTATCGTATCGGCAAGGGTTTTCAACCTGTTTCAGCCCCTAATTCACCTTACCATTTAAACACATTCCCTACATTGTGATGGACTTTGCTCTTGATTTTAGGCTTGGCTCCAGCTACTGAATAGAAACTGTTTGATCAGACCTGTATCTGCTTGTTTTAGAATACATTTTATTAGGAAAATCAGCTTTTGTTAGCTATGTATGATAGTCACCAAATCAATTATCCTTTAAATGGTGCCAACAAGTACATAAACCCTGCAACTTCCCTTCTCTTTTTTAGAAAATTTGTTCTTTTTATGTATGACAGCAGAGTGTATTTTTACGTATATACATACATGGAGTATAACTTCCCATTCTTGTGGTTGTATGTGATGTAGAGTTTCACTGGTCATATACTCAAAAATGAATACAGGAAAAGTTAAGTCCAATTCATTCTACTGTTTTTCTTATTCCCATCCCTTCATTCTAATGTCTAATCCAATAAACTTCTATACCCCTACCCAATGCCTTAGCATCCACACAAAAGAGAGAACATCTGGCCTTTGGTTTTTTTGGGACTGGCTTATTTCACTGAACATGACAGTCTCCAATTTCATCCATTTACATGAAGATGCCATAATTTCATTCTTCTTTACCGCTGAGTAATACTCCATTGTGTGTATATATACCACATTTTCTTTATCCAGTCATGTCTCTAGGTCCTGCGACCTCTCTTCTAAGTGCCTTGTAACTTTTCACATGTAGTCCATGTGAGCACAGATCACCAAGATATTGGAACTGATGCTAATCCATTTTTCTAAGATGGGAAAAGAGAGTTAGCAGAGGAGCAATGGAGAGGAGGGGTAAATTACAGAGACCAATTAGCTTCTAGACACCTGTATAGCTTGTAGTTATGCAACAGAAGTAACTTTCCTTTCATGCTCATTGACATGGCACAGACACACTATTTCAGTCTTGGAGTTTAGGGTACATTTACATAATTAAACATAAATATTATGAAAGCAATGATAAACATACTGGACTTTATCTCATAATTTTGTCTGTAAGATTGCCCTGTAAAATACCCTGGAAATTATTAAAGTATATGAGGGCTAGGTGTATAGCTCAGTGGTAAAGTGTGTGCTTAGCATACACCAGGGCTTGGGTTAAATCCCCAGCACCAAAACCAAACTAACCAAACAAAAAACCCCTCAAGTGTATGAAGCTCTGCAGTTTTTTGGTATGTCTGAAATATTTATTAAAAACAAAGTCTAGCCAGGCGCAGTGGTGCACGCCTGTAGTTCCAGCAGCTCAGAAGGCTGAGGCTGGAGGACTGCAAGTTCAAGGCCAGGCACAGCAACTTAGCAAGACTCTCAGCAACTTAGTAACAGGGCTAGGGATGTAGCTCAGTGGTGGTAAAGTGCTGGGTTCAATTCCCAGTACAAAAAAAAAAAAAAAAAAAGGAATTTCTTGGAGTGTGGAACAATACTAATTAAATTGGGAGACTACATGAAAGATATAAAAGGCACTGTATTGGGAAAAATACCTAAGAGAGTGAAAAATCACTGCTTTAAGTTATATTTAGATATAAATACATTTTGCATCTATTAATCTAAATCATAATTAAGTACAAAGACTATGAAACATATACTCTATAATGCACAGCTGGAAATAGGAATGTAAATCCCCACTGCTGTGGATTTAAAACAGCATGTTTGGGCCACTCAGAAGGAAAGTCTTAGAAGAATTAATATCACCCAGAAGTTCCCCAGACAGACATACCATTTGGATACTTCATAGTAAGTCACTCAGAAAACAAACAACAACAAAAAACCCAACATATACTATATCACATTAGAAAAACTTAAAATGAACATATATGCAAATAATTATTTTTTTATGTTTATGATACATAAAAGTCATTTTGAAGGTTAAAAATGTTTAAGGAATTCCAGAATCTTCTTTTCCTTCACTCCAACCTCTACTTATGCTCTGTTTATTTCAATTTATCTTTAGTCCCATAATTTTGATGGATAGGCTGAGGAATAGCAAAAATCTTACCTCAAAGACTAATTATAAGGTAAGCATTGGGTTGAAAGTCGGAACACCAGGATATTACTGATGCTGTCATTAAACAGCTTTGTGACACTGAAGAAGTCTATTAGGTTTTTTAGATTTAAATTGTTCTTGTCTATGAAGTTGAAAATAGGAGAAAGCTGGACTGAAGAATTTGCGGAATTTCCCAACTACAATTTCCATTCTTTGTAAACTAAATCACCTTCACCACAAAAGTTCTGTTGGTGCGTGGCATCTAGGACAGTTTTATTGCTTTTTAATCTACAACAAAGATGGGCTGCAGATGAATCAACATAACCCCAGTAAAAAATAAGTGGATAGATGAATAGTTGAGACTGCAAAGGAATAATATACCTCTTTCAAATGATTCGAACATAAGTGTAAAAAGACTGTAAAGGGAAGGTCAACTCAGTGAACTAGAAGGAATTACATATGCAGAAAATGCCAATAGTTGTAGGTCTTTATAGCTATAGTTGCACACTTATTTGCTTTTCCATGCTAGTTATTCAGGACAGAAGTCAAATTAAATTTATATTAATTCCTAGCTACCAGCGTAGAAACCAAGGATCTATATACAATTATAATGCACTAGTAAAAGACAAGATTATAAAATATATTTACTATAGGTTCTTGCCTTTAAAATAACTTTTATAATTTTCAAAGAAGTTTCATTCCCTCTCAGTGGCACTACCTCTAAAAGGTAATCTAAAAGGTAGTGAGGACAGGTATTAACAAACCCAGATTATAGATTAAAAATCTGAGACTCAGAAAGATTAAGGTGCAGCTTTAGTAGGAGGAGGCCATACACTGTAAATGATGATGAATTTACATTTCATCATGATGAAGCTGGCCCAGATATGACAACTGCTACTCCAGTCCTGTTTTCAAAATGCCACTTTCAATGCATGATGCTGATCATAGACACTCTGTCAACAGCTCTGTGCATTACACCATCATGACTAGACAAACAACTTATCTTTATATTCTCTTGAATGAATCAGGGCTGACTTTTAGCTTAAGATGTGGAGCTGCTGAGATGAGGAGACACCCAGAGATATATGCTATCACAGCACTAAACAAAAAGCACCTTTCACAAAAACCTAGTTATGGAAAATACTGGTAGTAGTAACTTGATCCCCACATGCTTCCACATACACCGGAATCTCTTGACTTTACATACTTTGGGAACATGATTAGATAAGCCTGCTTCAAGTTTCTTTTGATACTAGGGATTGGACCCAGGGATGCTTAACTACTGAGCCACATCCCCAGCCCCCTTTTTTTGGAGACAGGGTCTAAGTTGCCTGGGGCTTGCTAAGTTGTTGAGGCTGGCCTTAAACTTAGGATTCTCCTGCTTTAGCCTCCCAAGTCACTTGGATTACATGTATGTACCACCATGCGCACCTATTTTTTCTTTTATGAAAATCACTAGATGCATTTAAAAGGGTCATGCATGATTTGCTTAGAATTTAAATGTACCAGAATTTTGGGGATGTGGGAATGTACCTTGGTAGACCACTTGCCCTATGTTTAATTCCCAGCATTAAATGTTTTTCTTTCCTGTTTGCTAACTTGAAAAATTGAATTTAAAAGATATAGATTACATCTGAATTAAATATTATTTAACTCTTTTCTTTTAGATCTGTATTTTTCAGTATTTGCAACCAAATACTAATCTCAAATTTTTATAAAAAGCTATATAAGATTACCTTTCCATTTCGGTAATTTTGTCTTTTTCATTGAAATAAATACTGTGTCTATATATACATTGCTGAGAACACTGCTCAGGCTGACTTTATTACAACAGGGAGTGAGTTTAGAAAAATATTTACTTATGAAGGTATTTATGTTTTTTTTTGGTGCTAGAGACTGAAACTAGAGTCTTGTATATACTATGCTCTATCACTGAGCTACATCCCTAGTCCAACCATTTTATATAAAATATCTTTAATTTATACAGACGTGGCACTATTTAAATAGCTTCTCCACAGATGATAGGAATGTCACTTCAAACTCCTGATCAGAAAATCTCCTTATGGATTCACGAGCATTTTTTCTGATTTGGAGTCTCCTTTCAGCAGACAGGGAAAGAATATGAGCCATGGTTTCAGCATAGCCTTCTTCACTCTCAGCCAGAAATCCAGTTATATCTCCTTCATGAGGGACGACAATGTCAAGCTTTGGGCCCCCTGAATTGTGTGCGAGTATAATTGTGCCAGCTGCCATACACTCCACAACTCCTGAGGAGGGAAAAAAACCACACATTCTTTTAGGTTGGTTGGTTGGTTTTGCAGTACTCAGCATAGAACCCAGGACCTCACACATACTAGGCAAACACTCTACCACGGAGCTACATCTCCAGTCCTTTTTTTTTTAAATATTTTTTTTAGTTATAGATGGACCCAATCCCTTTATTTTTATTTATTTATTTATTTTTATGTGGTGCTAAGGATTGAACCCAGTGCCTCAAAAATGCCAGGGGAGTGTTCTCCACTGAGCCACAACCCCAGGCCATCCCTAGTCCTTTTTATTTTGAGACAGGGGTTTTGCCAAGTTGCCCAGGTTGGTCTTGAACTTATGATCCTCCTGCCTCAGCCTCCTGAGTAGCTGCCATGCTACTCAGCCATCTTTCAAGTTTTAGAGTGTGTTTGTAAGAACAATGATGAGTGGAAACCTTCAGAAATTTTAAGAGACTCAATGACAAATTTAATTAAATGTCTATATGTCTATAAATTTGATCATTTAACTGCCATGGTGCAAAATAAAATAATTTAACCAGACACGGTTATGCACACCTGTAATTCTAGTGGCTTGGGAAGTTGAGCCAGGAGGATTGTGAGTTCAAAGCCAGCCTCAGCAACTTAGCGAGGCCCTCAGCAACTCAGCAAGACCCCGTCTCTAAATAAAATACAAAAAGAGCTGGGGACACGGCTCAGTGGTTAAGCGCTCCTGGGTTCCATCCCTGGTACCAAAAAAAGAGAAAAAAAAATTTAAAATTTTTTAGTTCTTAGAGCCTCACAATAATGCTGCTTCATTCTTAAAACAGGTAAGTAGTTAGAAATCTATAAAAATATTCTATAAAAAGTAAGTATACTGCACAAGACAATGTCTAAATAATGTTAGCAAGATGGTAGAATATTAGAAGGTATCAGAAAGATAAAAGGAGTGAAAAGATATCAAAAGCAAAAGTTTAAGAGTTCAAATTGCATTACTAGCAGAAAATAGAAAAATGTAAACTACCTCAGTGATGTGTACTGCTGCCAGTGCTCATGTTAATGCCTGAATTTCTGGTGTATTTGATACTACTGTGCCTAAGAGCAGTTTTGAACGAAACAGAAGCTGTGGTTAGTGTTTACCAAATGATACAGGTGAGGGTATAAAGTACCCCAGGCAGCTGTTTTTTAGCTATATTCTTGGAGAGAAGCCCTTCAGAAAATGATTTAAGTGATCACTCCTGAAGGATGGCACAGAGCTGGTATCATCCCAGGTGCACAGGAAAGAAGCTCAGTCGTTCTAACTGCTTCTTCTACAGCTGTGAAGTCCCTGCAGAACGGCATTCAGCACCTCATAGGTTGTTGAAGGGCAGCAAACTTCCTTTCACCCTTTCTCATAGACCTAAATCTAATCAATTCACCTCTTTCCCTTCATGATCTTCCACCTCTTCCTCTTTTTCTTTGTACTGGGGAGTAAATCCAAACCCAGGGTACTTTTCAATGAACTTCATTCCCAGAACATTTTTTTAGTTTTTGAGACTGGGTCTCATTAAGTTGTTTAGGACCTTGCTAAGTTGCTGTACCTCACTCACGGGAATTACAGGCATACATTATCATATCTGGCTCTCCTGGTCCTTCTCTATGAGCATTTAAGTTAGTTGGAAATCATAAAAACAGGATGGTAGCTGCATGTGTTAAATAAGGGCGGAAGCAGAGTCAGGAATGAGCACCTGGGTCTCAGGGAAGGCACACAAAGTTTTCTTGAGACACATTTTCCCTAATTATTGATCTCTTTCACCTTCCTTCACAGATAAACTGAAGTGTGGTCTGCATGAACTCCACTTGCTCACCTTTAACTAATGCTCAACTTAGCACAATATGGCTTTTGCTTCCCCTTCTCCCCTGAAACTAGTCTGTCCCAGGTGCACAATGACTTTCTTACCTTTCCCAGCATCTAGGCAGCATGGGACTCTGTTGCCCTTTCCCTTCTTCCTGAAACACTGTCTTCCATGGGCTCCAAAGCACTGCACTCTGCCTGTTTCCCCCAACTCATATTCTCCTTTTTGCTGGCCCCTCTTCTGCCCACTCCTTAACTGCTCCTGTTCACAGCACTTGGCTGAGAGGCTCTTCTTGCACACTTTACCCACATCTGCAAGGCTTCAATAACCACCTGGATAAGGATGACCCCTCACTCCACACTTCCACACAGGTCTCGCGTCGCCTTCAGGCCCATATCTACAATGACCTACAGGGTACAAGGACTTACATGTCCCATAGCTGACTCAAACCCCACCCACTGGAGACTTGGCTTACCAAGTGCCCTGCTCCTGGGTTCCCTGCAGGGAAAGCCAACACCATCCCCACAGCTGCCCAAGCCCAGGAAGTCATTTGAGTCTGCCTGCTCCCTCATTTAACATATTCAGCTAACCACCCAGTCCAGTACTCCCTCAGAATCTCTCTCAAGTAGGCTTGCCTACCAAATTCAGATGGCCAGACCCACTGCCTGGGTTGCTGTAGTAGCCCAGCTCAGCTTCCTGCTCGCCCTCATCCTTCCCACACTCCCCACACTGCAGCCATAGTGGGCTTTAAGAAACAGAAGCTTTTAAATGCGGTACTTGAAATGCTTCCATTCTGGGCTGGGGAGCCTGTGGTAGAGCACTGACCTAGCATATGAGGCCTTAAGTCCCATCCCCAGTACTGCCTCCTCCCCACAAAATATTCTTCAATCCTTTCCCAATGGTTTGACCTGGCCCAGATTACCTCTGCTGTCCTGCCGGGTCCCCTTCACGCTGGGCTAGGTTGGACTCTTAGTCCCTTGAATGTGCCTGGTGATGCTCCTGCTGTCATTCTTGTTGCAGTGTTGCTGCCTTTGCTGGATATGCTCCCCTTTGGGCTGCGCAACTTCTAATTATTGTCCAGGCCCCAGCTTGGGTGTCACAGCACTTTTTTTGGCTACCATTCTCTGCTCCTATGAGTATGTTAGGTGTTTTTTGGTAATATTCTTAGCACCCACCAGAGTATACCTGGCACAGATTATAAGTGAAAGGAAGCACAGGAAGCCAGACCCTGTGAATAAGGTTATGTCAACAAGTTCCTGCTGAATTTCTCAGTTTAGTATTGTGCTACTAACTAGGGATTTAAAACAATGTGTAAAAAATTAAATTATGATTTTGGTATAAGAAACTTCACTTGCATGTTGTCCTATTTTTCCCTTAACAGTTTTGTGAGGTACAAGGTAGGCACTTGAAAAAAATATGCTAAACCAAATTAGGCACAAAGCAGTACTTGGTCTTACACTCAAGTGGTGTGCTTAACATGAAGTCAGCATAGAGATAGCAATCTGTGCTAGAATAAACAAGAAACAATAAAGGACAAGGAGATTTAAATGGAATACTTAGGATGGGATATGGCAGCAAATGAGGAGAGGCCATTTCAATAATGAGTGTAGAATCAATAAAAGACACAAAGAATTACTATGAGAATCCATCTGGAAACAGAGGGTCTAAGGTTTTGATGTACAACAGAATTACCAGGCAGCTATATTGAAATACCTGTCCAGAGGGCCCTGTCCAGTTTCTAATTTGGTTGTTAACAGGATTAGGGTAGGGTCTAGAAGTCTGTAGGTAGGTGAGTTTAGATGGGGAAAGAAAAGAGCAGTAGCTATCTGGGTGAGAATCCAGGCCCTACCACTTCCTGTGTGACTGAATTTAGCAGTTTCTAAGCCTCTGCACCTGGGTTTCCTCATCTGTAAACAGGAATAATAATAATACCTATCAAATAGGGTTCTGGAGAAGATTAAACTAGATCATACTTCTAAAAACCTCAACACAGTTACCTGCATAGTAAGTGGCACCAAATAAGTTGTTTAAAAGACAAACTTACCAATTCCAAAATGCTCATTCCACATAGTATGCAGACCAATTGTTGCTCCAGACAAATAATTCTTTAACTCATCAAATGGAATGTTTATTTTAAATTCCACATGTTCTTGAACTCCTAAATCCTCAGACAGTCTTCTCAGTTGGTTTACTCTAAGTTCATCATCTTTGTTACGACAACCTCCAATGAGGACAAGTTTAAGTGAAAAAGGTGACTCAGCTACTTTCTTATCCAGCAATTTTGCAAAAGCTTTGATTTGCAAAGGATGGTTTTTTTCAGGCCTGAATTGGCCAATGGAAACGAATATATGTCCTGGGGTCATTTTTTTCTCATGTAAGGGAATATCCAGAAATGTCTGCACATCGCAAGGCGGATAAACAATATTAGTGCAATTCCCAACCTTCCACAGTGAGAGAATATGGTTTAGTGTCCAAGAAGAATTGACCATGACTACATCACTGCAAGAACCAACAAGTCCATAAATAAAAGCAAACAAATAGTAGTAGATCAGCTTTACTTTGCTGAGAAAAGGATTCTTGGTAATGAAGGTTGCATTATTAAATCCAACATTTTGATTCTTCACTACAGAGAGCATATCAGTGCTGATAGTGGGATAATGAACATAGCTTCCAACTCGGCAACCCCCTATATACTTAAACAGAGGGAGTGTGAAGGCATAGCCCATTGAATCAATGTAAACATCAGGAACACACTGCATCAGAGCTTCCCAGCCAAGAAAAATGGATCCTAGACTTTGGCCAAGCAGTGTGAAGTGAGGATACTGTGAATCTTCCACAAGGTAGCGTTTCTTTAAGAAAACAAATTGCACTGGGCAAGTTAACCTGATGTTAAATCTTCTGAAAGCACCTTCTAGTATCTGTTGACCACTGACATTAACATCACCAGTATAAACAACATATACTGCTTTAGGATACCTAGAATAGAATATAATTGTTAAGAATGTCATTTATTTAGGTTCAAATCAAGCAAAAAGTTTTCTTATAATCTTAAGCTTATTTTGATACTAAAAAATGCTTTCCACTTTTTTTCATTCATTGCATTTGAACTGCTGACTATACCCTTTCCTGAGTTGTCTACTGCCCAAAGACTAAAATGCTGGTTCTTCAAATAAGAACATGTGCTATGGTTTGAATATTTGCGTCCCCTCCAAATTCATGTGTTGAAAATGACTCCTCGATATAGTGATATTAAGAGGAAGGGGCTGCTGGGGATGGAACTCAGTGGTAGAGTTACTCAAGGATTCTGAATTAACAAAATTCACAACTTATATTGTTTCATCAAAGATACTTTTTTTTTTTTTTTCTCTCTCTCTGGTGCTGGCATGTACAAGGTTCAGGGTTTGATACCCAGTATTGCTACCTCCCCAAAAAGGAGGGGGCCTCATAATGAGATTAATACCTTTATTTCTCCATTTATTGGTGCTGGGTATTAACCCAGAGTCTTGTGCATGCTAAGCACACACTTTACTTCCACCCTCAAGTGCCTTTTTTTTTGGTTGTTAAATAATTTTTAGTTGTAAATGGACCTTTATTTTATTTATGTATATATGGTGCTGAGAATTGAACCCAGGCCCTCACACATGCTAGGCAAGTACTCTACACCTGAGCCACAACTCCAGCCCTCCAAGGGCCTTTTTAAAGAAGGCCTAAAGGAACCCATTTTCCATTCTGCCACATGAGGATGCAGCAAGAAGCAGCCATCTATGAGGCAGAGTGAGCTCTCCATAGACACTAGAGCTATTGGTGCTTTGATCCTGGACTTCCCAGCTCCCAGAACTGTGAGCAATATATTTCTGTTCTTTATAAATTACTCAGTCTAAAATATTTGCATGCAGCTGCCCAATTAGACTAAGACACTCTGTCTTCCAGCTCTTTGCTCTTTCTTCTATTAAGGGTTTAATGAGAAATTTCTATTTTTTAAGGAAATATTAAAACATTTTATTTTAACAGAGTAAGGGTATAGCTCAGAGGTAGAGTACTTGTCTATTATGTGTGATGCCCTGAGTTCAATCCCCGACAGTGCAAATAAAATACAACAACTCATTTTGACAACATTCTCAATATAAAAATAGTAGTGAAATATTAATAAAATACTCATAAACATAATTTAAAATTTAAAAAACATGTCCTCATATAGGATCAAAGTGTTTCTGGGAAATGCAAACATGTTTTGAAAGCTAGGTACATTTTTGGGTACTAAGGATTGAACTCAGGGGTGCCTTACCACTGAGCTACATTCCTGCCCTTTTTATTTTTTATTTTGAGACAGGGTCTCACTAGACTGCTTAGGGTCTCAAACTTGTGATCCTTTTGCCTCAGTCTCCCAAATTGCTGGGATTACAGGCATATGCCATTGTTCCTGGCTTAGATTTTTTTTGAGACAAGGTCTACATTGTCCAGGCCAGCCTCCAACTTCTGGGCTCAAGCAATCTTCCCACTTCAGCCTCTACAGTAGCTGGGACCATAGGCATGTTGGGGGCACTGGTTTAAAATTCAACAGGACTGTATGAAGCAAGTGAGCAAATGAGAGAAAAATTCTCTTATTAAAGAACAGTTTAAAAAAGAGATTCCTGGCTGTGAATAAGATACAGGAGAAAGGAATTTCTGAGTAATATTTTTTTCTAGAAATGGCAACAATATAGAAAATTTGCTAAACATGATGAATACTTACTTTTTCTGCAGGGTTCTCAAGGCACACCATAGAACTCTTTCCCCTCCTCCACCAGCATTGCAGTATGGATGAAAAAATGCAATCACTGTTGGATTTTTCCCATTTTTGCTGGCTGACACTGACTTTTTCTTTCTCTGTAGCAGTAATCTGAGTCCCCAAAGGACAATAACCAAACATATACATAAAGCTCCACATACAATTAGCCCAGGGAAGAATAATGAATAAAACAACCTGAAATAAGAAGGAAAAGGTGAAAATTCATCTGATGCCCATATTTTAAAAAAAATTTTTACATATTACTTTATGTATTGGTAGCAAAGAAAATTTTTGTAGTTTGCAAGCCTGCTAACAAAATACTTGAAATACTTTTATGGTGCTGGAGATTCAACCTAGGATCTCAGACATTCTACCCAAGACCTAACCCTCCTACTTTTTTGTTTTTTGAAAATTTTAGGCAGGCAAAGAGGCCTGCATCTGGGGTCCCACCTTACTCAAGAGGCTGAGGTAGGAGGATTATTTGAACCCAGGATTCAGTGGATCTTTTACTTCTCCATTTTGTAGCATTGTGACTTGGTAGTTTATCCGTCCGTCTTTCAAGTAAAAATGGTCTCCCATAAAGTGTCTAATTCAGCATGCAGCTCAGATGATTATGTAACAAACTGATTTTCCTTGAGATAGTCACCATATAGCAGTACAGAAGTGCTTTATGTGTCCCCCCCACCCCCATTTTGTTATATACAATATTAAAGATATATGTATTCAAGGGTTATGATTTAACAAAATTCATAACTTTTACTATTTAAAGATTTTTTTTTTCTTTTTCTTTGGTACTAGTATTTAACCCAAGGGCACTTTTCCACAGAGTTGGATCCCAGACTTTTTTCTAACTTTTTATTTTGAGACAGGGTCTTGCTAAATTGCTTAAGGCCTTACCAAATTGCTGGCCTCAAACCTGTAATCCTCCTGCTTCAGCCTCTTGAGTTCCTGGGATTATAGGCATGTGCCATGGCTCTCAGTTCATCACTGATATTCCTAATTAAAACTGGGTTTTGCAAGTGCTAAAAAACACAAGGACTAATTACTACAGTTTGGCATTCACTGCCTTGATTTGTACTAGGGCAGTTTTACTCACTTACTTTGGTACCATCAGTATAAATGTCAACATACTGAAAAAAGCAATTGCTATTTTAACATTATTACAAAAACAATTTTGACCTTGAAGACTTACTGAAAGAATCTTGAATCTGTATGGATCTATGAACCACACTTTGAACTACCACCTTAAATGATTAAATGTTAAATAATGACAAATCTTACTTGCCACTTTAAGAATATATGAGTTGGAATGTATAAGTTCACAAAAGCAACTCTATATAGGACAGTCTGCTTCCCTAAGAAGAGCTTTCAAAAGGCTGTTTTACTTATAATGTAAATGACTCAGAGAATCTAAAGATTTTTTTTTTAATGACAATTCCTTCAAATGGTTCAGTTTTACATATAGGCCTTTCAAATTGAACCATTTAACTTAAATCAGATTCAGAATCATACTAATAATTAAAATTAAGCCAGTCCTTTGAGTATGTTAGTTTCAAAGATACACTTACAGTTTCTATAAATAAATTTATTAAACACCATACAGTACTTGCACATTAGAATTATTCATTTTAGGATTTACATATAATTAAAATATGTAGTACTAAATAATGTTTGCCCATATTTAGACAAAAGGCTTAAAAAAAGGTGGCTGTAATCAATAGTGAGTCACTCATTTAGCAGACATTTATAAGGCAGGTAGGTAACATGAAAGTTCTGAGAATATACTTTCCCATTCAGAATGTTTTAAATAATTATAGAACTTGAAGTAGGACAAAAATGAAGAAGAAATACCAGAGTTTTGTTGAGAATATGCACATACTGCTATTCAGGTATATATTGTGTTAATTATAAATATTCAACCTGGCTAGGTAGTAGCATACAGTAGGTCTTCAGTTTAATCAGTGCAGAGTAAGGCATTTACTATATCACAATATCATAACAAAGGTGGAGAAAAGTGTTTTCTCACCAAAATATTAAGAGTGTTTATCACCAGATGGTAGCATTCCTTTACTTTTCTATTTCCTAACTTTTCTTTGGGAGAAACGATAATGTGTATTATAATAAGGGTAATATTTTCATATAAGTATTTTTACAACAGAGACACTAAATCAACGGATGGCAAAGCGTCCCTGGGTTCACTTCTCAGTACCAAAATTGGGGGGAGACAGAAACGGAGTGGAGGGAAATTGATTTCTTTAACTAAGAGAAAAACATGATAGATTGGAAAATCACTCACGGCTCAATCATAAGGGAAAATTAGTAATGCACATATAAGTACCATGACAGAGTTATTGGATTGCGAAAAGAAAGAAAAAGTTGAAACAGGGAAGGAATGCCCCTCAGCCACAAGGACACAGGCGAAAAAACTGCGGTAAACTGAGTCTTTAGACTCAGTCTGCTCCAACCTGAGAGACCCCACAGGGAGGGGAAAACCGCTCACTGGCCTGAGAAAATACCCTAAGTCCTAGGAAATTAGCCTACATCCATGACACGGGTGGCCCTTCTCCCGCAAACGTTAGCGGCACTGGATAGCCAAGTGTCACCACCCGACAAGTAGCCCTTCGAGCCCACAGCACCCGCTCCTCACCTCAACAACTCGCACAAGCACCAACCCCCTTTGGAGGCCGCCATCTTCGGCCGACCCCCGAACTCAGGAAGCGCTTGGCCGTTCCTCTTCCCTATTGGCTACTGAGGAACCTTGAGGCGCTCCTCTGGCCCTCGCGGGCCAATTGTGCATTGCAATTGGCTACCGGTAGCAGCTTCCCACGGCCTTTTAGCCAATAGAATGGCCGAGGAGTAAACGAGATTTTGGCGTGGCGCAAACGGGTCCGGCCCCCATGGGCGGCACCGTAGTGGGAGGTGGGCTGTGGGGGCGTGGCCTTTGACGGACAGCCGGCGCTCAGGTCCTCGGCCCCTCCCCCACTGGAAGCCCCTGCCGGGGCGCCCCTGCCCTCAGTCCCAAACCCGCGGCCGGTTGGCGACCAAATGGGAGGCCCTTGCAGCTCACGGATCAATCTTCCGAGTGCAGAGTCCATTCCCGTAGCGATTGCTGCATTTGAGATCCGCGGAGCCCAGGAGCCAGGCGCGGAGTTGGAGAGGGGGCTGAGCGGAGCTGATCCGACACCCCGCCAGGACGAACCGTCCCCCAGGCCTTGGGCGAACCCGGGGCATCTGCATCTCCGGCCCGGGACTGCACCACTCGCCAGCCCTTCATCTCCAGCACAGGCGCAGATCTGAGGACCTAGTGCTGAGTGCATCGGTCCGAGGTAGTTTAGGAGGGAGTCAGGACAGGTCTTCGCCCTGCGGTGCGGGCTTGGGTGTGAGTGAAGGTCGGAGGCCCACGCTCCCCACGCGCTCTTATCCCTGCGCTCCCAAGTTAGGGACACGGCGGCGCTCAATTTTAACCCACAGTTTTGGTGTTGCGGATCCCCTGATTCAAAGCGAAGAGACGGTTTCCTTAGAGTCGAGCCGGACTGAAGCCCTCACACCCACTCCTCTTCCTCCTGGATTTTAACAGGCTCTTCTCGCCCTTCCCTAACCAGGTGACCTTTGGGCTCCGGGCCGGATCTGAGAAGAAATTGGTGTCTGCGGGGGTGATGCCTGAGCAGGAGAGACAGATTACAGCCAGAGAAGAGGCTAGTCGGAAAGTAAGTTTCCTTCTCCGACAACGTGTGCACACATCTACCTGGAGAGCTTTCTTCCTCCAGTGCCTCTGTCCTCCGGGTGCCCAGGAAGAGCAAGCGCTCTCCAGAGCCCAGCGCTAGCGGGGTCGTGGTTTGGGAGGAAAGCACTGTGTAGAAAGGGCGTGCTGTCCACAGGTGTTAGAGAACGTTGCAAACCCAGCACGTTTCTGTTAATCTATGCTGTTAAGGGGTCTGATGCCTGAGAAGTAAAATGAGCGTGGATTTGCCCTAATAGTTCAAAATTAGTTACCTGGGGAAGTTAGTCACAGTCCAATGCCTGAATCTCTTTATGTTATATAATCTCTTTATATTCAAGTCCTGGGATTTTTTTAAAATGCAGCTATTTTGAATTCATTTTAGTTTATGTAAGTAATGCGTTCAGTGTGGTAGGTTTCTGTGTGTGTTATTTTAAAATATTTTGTTTACCTAAATGAAAATCAAATGCTGTGTATTCTCCAACTTTTTTTTTCAATATTTTGGAGATTGTTTTATGAAGTGTCTGTCTTCATTTAGCCTCTGCACAGGGTAGATGCTTCGTTATTTGTTGCTCTCTTACAGGTGGACATTCTGGTTGCTTCTCTCTCTCTCTCTCTCTCTCTCTTGTTTGTTGCTCTCTTACAGGTGGACATTCTGGTTGCTTCTCTCTCTCTCTCTCTCTCTCTCTCTCACACACACACACACACACACACACATTCGCATGTGCAAGTGGACATGATCTTTATACTTGAACTAATGTTGACTCTTGAGTATTTCTTTAGGATAGACACAAAAGCCTAGATTGCTGGACCAAAGAGTAGGTTGCTTTTTTTCTTTTCTTTTAATATTTATTTTTTTTAGTTTTAGGTGGACACAACATCTTTATTTCATTTTTATGTGGTGCTGAGAATCGAACCCAGTGCCTCATGCATGCTAGGTGGGCATGCTACCTACCACTTGAGCCACATCCCCAGCCCTGGGTTGCTTCTTTTCTATAGGTCTCTGAAATTAATCAATTTAACAATATTATTGAGGGACCATTAGAAGTGAAATTTATCTAGTCTCTGGTGTAGAAAAGAAAGAAAAGTGGATTAATGGATGGTCAAGCCAGAGAGATGCTGATCAGTAGATGATTCTTTACGGTATGAAGACTGCAATTTTTATAGGTTTTCTTTCTTTTATTTTTACTTTTATTTTTAGTTGTAGATGAACACAATACCTTTATTTAATTAATTTGTTTTTTGGGGTCCTTAGAATTGAACTCAGGGGCTCTCAACCACTGAGCCACATCCCCAACCCTATTTTGTATTTTATTTAGAGACAGGGTCTCACTGAGTTGCTTAGCACCTTGATAAGATGCTTGGAGCTCATGATACTCCTGCCTCAGTCTCCCAAGCCACTGGGAATACAGGTGTGCACCACAGTGCCTGGCTTATTTTTATTTATTTTTTTATGTGGTGCTGAGAATCAAACCCAATGCTTCACACAGGCTGTACAAGTACTTTATCACTAAGCTACACTCCCAGCCCCTGGAGACTGCATTTGATCTGGAATGTGAAGACAGCCTACATTGGGGAGGGATGGCTTCTGCAGAGGAGACACTTAACAATTTCTACAGTGTCCCAACTTAGAGAGAGGGAAAAAAAACACAAAGCCTCATTCTTCCAGATCAAGCACATGATCTGCCCCCTTCTTGATACCTTCTGTAACTGCTCTGGCCCACGTTAACCTCATGTTCTTCTGGATTCCTTTGATAATAGCCTTAGCCAATGTCATTGAGCTTACTATGTGCTAGGAATTATATTAAGCACTTTATATCCCTCTGTGTGTACTTTTTCAACACCCTTTGATGTAGGTGGGGTTTTTGTTGTTTTGGTGCTGGGGCTTGAACCCAGGGCCCGGAGTATGCTAAGCATACACTCTACAACTAAGCTGCACTCCTAGCCCTAATGTAGATATCATCCTTGTGTTATCATCATTTGTTCAACAAATCATCATTTGTTTTTAAGAAATAGGGACTCACTATGTTACCCAGGCTGCCCTCAAATTCCTGGGCTCAAGGAATCCTCCTGCCTCAATGGGAATATAGTCCCTGAATTTTTTTTATGGACAACATGCCTTTATTTTATTTGTTTCATTTTTATGTGGCCCTCAGGATAGAAGCTGGTGCCTCACACATACTAGGCAAGCGCTCTGCCACTGAGCTATAGTCCCAGCCTTTTTTTTTTTTTTTTTTTTATGTGTCAGGGATACTAGGCCCTGGGGAGCCAGGTGAGAGCAAGACCCCGCCCTCAAGGAATTTATATTCTAGTAGGAGATGGAGAAAAGAAAGGGGGGTAAACAAATATTGTTATTTTAGGAACTGCTAAGTGCTGGGAAGAAAATAAATCATGATAGGGACATTTAAAAAAAGGGCATAGGTGGGGAGGAAGATTCTATTTAAGTACGTGGCCAGAGAATGCTTTGCAGGGGAAGTAAGGTTTGAGCAGAGACCTGAATGATTCAGATTTCAGGGAAGTGTTCTGTGCTGGGAAACCAAAAAGTATCCAAGTCCTAAGGCAAGAGTGTGAAAATAAGAAATGGTATTTGATCTTTGTCCTAGGTTCCTGACAGAGTTGAAACCCTTGGAATTTCCTGAGTGATAATGATAGGAACATTTTTTTTGTCATTCAAAATAAGCTCTTTTCAACATATCTGAGTTTCTGCTAATGAGGTGGCCTGTGATGGGCCCCTAGATAGCTGCTTCAGATGGAGACTGATGGCCAGAGGAACCAATCATGTGATTAGGAAGTAAGACCTTTCTGCACCACCCCCCAACCTCTGGGGAGGTGACAGGGACTGGAGATGAGCTAATCAGCAGGGGCCCCATGCTTTAATCAGTCATGCCTACAGAATGGAACCTCCATGAAAATCCTAAACGATGGTTTCAGAGCTTCCAGATGGTAAGCACATTGAGATTCTGTGAGAGTGGCTTGCCTGGAGAGAGATAGAAGCTCTGTGCATCATCCCCCATCTCTTGCCCTCTGCATTTCTCTCTTTGCCTGTTCTTTTTTTTTTTTTAAATCTTTTATTCTAATTTGTTATATATGACAGCAGAATGCATTACAATTCATACTACACATATAGAGCACAATTTTTCATCTCTGGTTTTATACAAAGTATATTTACACCATTCGTGTCTTCATACATGTACTTAGGGTAATGATGTCCATCTCATTCCACCATCTTTTCTACCCCCCTTCCCCTCCCACCCCTCTGCCCTATCTGAGTTTGTCTAATCTTCCCATGCCCGCCACCCCCACAACCCCAAGTTGAATCAGCCTCCTTATATCAGAGAAAACATTCAGCATTTGTTTTTTTGGGATTGGCTAACTTCACTTAGCATTATATTCTCCAGCTCCATCCATTTACCTGCAAATGCCATGATTTTATTCTTGTTTATTGCTGAGTATCTTTGCCTGTTCTTGAATTTTATCCTTTATCATAAACTGGTAATAGTACGTGAAGCACTTATCTGAGTTCTGTGAGCTACTCTAGCTCAAGGGTTGGAGACCATTGGACTTTATAACCAGTCCTTCAGAAGTTTGTGTGCCCTAGACTTGCCGACTGGTGTCAGAAGAGGAGGGAAGACTTGTGGGGCTGAGCCCTTACCTCTGGGGTCTGTGCTAGCTCCAGGTAGTGTCGGAACTGAATTGAATGTAGGTCACCAAGTTGTTGTTTGGGAAGTTGGAGAATTGGTTGGTAGGAAGAAACATCCCACATATATTATGTCAGAAGGGTTGTGAGTACAAATAATACAAAAGGATCACAGGCGTGTGCCACCATTTCTGGCTATATTCGTTATTGTAAAGAGCAATATCAGGTGGCTTGGCTATGTGTCAAGCAAGTTTAGAAGATAATATTATCTTTCAAAGACGATAGGTTCCTGAAGAAATGAGAAAGGCCAGCTAAGACTCAATCCTAGAACTGCCTCTCATCAGCAAAATCCCTTGGATAAGTTAGTAAACTTCTGCCTCAGTTTCCCCATCTTAAAGCAATGATGAACTCTGACCTCATGTTCTACCGCATTCCCTTCCCTCCTCCTTCTGCTCCAGCCACTCTGGCTTCCTTATTGCTCCTGAAACACTAGGAACTTGAAGAGGAGGTGATGCTTGTGTGGGTCCCCAAAGGAGAGCAGGCATTGGCTAGGCATGGTATCTTAGGGAGCAGCCGGCATATAGGAAGGCCCAGAAGGTTAGAAATGAAAAGAGGCTCTAGGGGAACTGACGGGTTTGGCAAGCCTGGAGAGTGGCCATGGAAGACCTGTGGAGTTTGGATTTTACCCCACAGTCTTATTTATTTATTTATTAAGAGAGTGACTTATTTATTTATTTTTTGGTGCTGGAGATTGAACCCAGGGCCTCAAACAAGCACACATTCTACCACTGAACTACACCCCCAGGCAAACATGACAGGAATTGTGACATCTTTTGTTTCAGAGAGAGAGTTCAGGCTTGGGGAATAGTCTGAGGCTCCCTGGGGAGGAGGGTGAACCCTGGAAGCAGCTGCTGGGCCACCAGCTGGAGGTTATTGAAAGCCAAAGAGAAGGTCTCAGAAAAGCCTGAAAGTATTAGAAGTTTAATACCAGGCCCTGGGATTGAGCCTAGGGGCTTGAGCATGCTAAGACACATTCTACCACTGAACTACACCCCCAGAAGGACTCTGTCCTGATTTGTTGTGAAATTCCCTTCTCAGAGAAAGAGCAGGTTGTCTAGACCTCCTTTGTCCAGAGTGATAGAAGTGAGGGAAGTCCTCACAGAAACAACTCGGGGTGCAATTGGTCCTTAGTAACTGGGTGATAATCTCAGGAAGTGAGAGAGCTGGATTTGATTTTACTTATTTATTCATTTATGTATTTATCTTTTTCTTTGTGGTGCTGAGGATGGAAACCAGGGCTTCACACATATAATGTATTCAATACATGTTACTCTATGATATAGTATAGTGTG